GGGTTTGGGTTTCCCTCCCAACCATAAACGTAAATCTGTCTTTGTTGTGTCAACAACACGTGGGGTCTGATCATAGCAAAAAAAATCCACGTGCCCTCGTCAATACATCGTACCGTACTCGGGAGTCCAGGCAATACTTTAAATTCATCGTCAGCCATGGTCAATCCACTGTTGGATGAGGACGCCCCACACGATCCAAGGGGGTGATAATGCACCTCGCTCACTCGATACAACACCGGTGCGGTGATCCACAAACCCTCTCGCCTGCCCCTTCCACAGTGCTGGGTTTAGAGGCACCGTCGTGCAAGAGCAATGACCGCTACCCGGCTGGATGTCCCACTGTATGGGAGGCGAGGTACACAGTGGGTGATGGTGATGATCATCATCCAAGCGCAAAACAGGTTCCTCTCGTGTACACGCAGCTAGCCAGCACCACCGATTAGCACGGTTGGCTACGTACGGTGCGGAAGAAGTTCAATATACATAGCCTATGTCTACCCAAAATTCGCCGTATGCGGTTTGAATCACTCATTTGCGTCTATGCGGTTGGACGTGCGACAACACTGTCTGTACTATGTGCGCTACTCGGTAGGCAGCTGCCTCGTGGGGGGTTCGCCATGTATTTTAAAACTCATCTACTACAGCCGCATATAGCGAGGGACACGTGTTCGTGATCGTTGTTTCCACGCGACGCAGCGATGCGTAAATACGCAAACTCTCGTGAGTTTTTTTGTCTCGTCACGTGACGATAATGTGTTGTTAGTCTATTTTTTTTACCTACGTGACTTTACCCAATAGAACCAAAGAGTGTGTTGTTAGTCTGTCGGATAAACTGGCCAGTGGCCGGCCGATAGCGCCAGGGACTAACGCGGCAACGTATGTTTCTCTTTTTTTACGTGGGAATCTGACACGGAAGAAGATTTAACACGTAAGCTTTCGCGACCATTTATGCCTCTATTTAAGGAACGAAACGGGAGGATCTCTCCACAAATGTGGCTGTCGCCTGATGAAGCTAGTTGTAATTACTGGCGAAACGTCGTACGCAGATTGTACATGTTGTGGCTTGGCTCTCCAACACACCGTTGTGGCTGTACTAGTGACGAATTGGCCACGTTCTGTTTCCGTGACAACCCTTACTAGTTGGCTGTGTCGGGTGGTGGCGGGTATAACGACACATTTATTTACGCGATAGAACCCAAAAAAACAACCCCTATTCCGAAAAGAGATTGTTGTGTTCATAGTTTCGATTTAAAGCTTTCGTGACTGCAGGGATTCATCTTCTGGGTTATTTCGATAAAGTCACGCTCTGTTCCTCCCCCACACCTTAAAAGACGCTTCCAAGCTTGGCAGGGTTCACTCAAGCGCTGTCTTCCGGACAGTCCTGTTTCTTCACCTGAGGAGGGCTGCTTGTGTTGTGGCCGAAACGTCGTGAGAATTGTATTCTGTTATAATTTTATTATTATTTTATCTCCATTCTACGTGACTTTACCGATAGAACCCAGAAGATGTGTTCATAGTGCTCATATCATCAGCATCAGCCACGATCGATCCACTGTTGGATGAAGGCTTCCCCCAAAGCCTTTGTCGGCACGAACGCACATCTCTCGCTCGAGGAGAGCGTTCATCGGCACCGCCAACAGCAGTCTCCCCTGCTGTTGGCATGCACCACGCTCTGGAAGTTCCTGCCCCCCCCCCCTGCCATCCATGGCTGTCGACTCCCCAGGCTCAAGGCATTTTCCTTGTTTCCTTCATAGGATGTGTATATACGTGCCCACTTCCTGTAGAGCGCCTTGAGATGCAGTCGCATGTCGATGCGATGTGTAATCCCTGATTTGTATTGGAACTATGTATCCTGGCGGCGATGAGTGTTGTGTATTGGTCGTGCGCAGTTCGTACGCTTCAGCCCACTTATAGACTGTTGGGACGTATTCTGTCAGGTACCACCGTTGAAGGCCACGTGGACAGCGGTCACAAATCGCGGCTAAAAGTTGATGGAAAAGACAAAGGTCCCACCGGTATAGTCTTTAACAAGAGGGTGGTGGGTGGCCAACACCACGCCCGGATGCCTTTGTCTCCCCAATGCCGACGATTTAACACCGCACCGGGGACTCATTTAAGGCTGACTCAACCTAGGAGGAGGGGTCCAGAACCGGTTTAGATATTCATCGTCACTGGTTGCTGGTGGCGGCCGTGAGCGGGAATCGAACTCGGGTTGCCGGGTTCGATTCGCCCACGGCTCCCCACCAAAGACACACGGGCGCGCGCGCGCGCACACACACACGGGCGCGCGCGCATACACACACGGGCGCGCGCGCGCGCACACACACACGATCGCGCGCACACGCAGAGTGAGCGGTGTGCACGCTTCGACCAAACGGAGGGGGGCAAATTCTCTGGTTGGGTGAGAGCGGCGAGTCGGTGGCGCGGTGCGCTCTCGTTAATGAGCGACAAGGTGCGGGATTTGTGAATGGAGGAGATGGAGGGAGCAGAGAGGGGAGGGATGCGTCGCGCAGGAAGCGATTTGTAATCGCGTGCACGGGGGGGGGGGGGCAGACGGAGAGGGTGCCCGACAATGCGCGCTTTGTCGCGGGGCCGCTAGCGAGTTCCTCCGGTCCTCCTCCTGCTCTCTCTCTCTCTCTGCGTTTGTGATCTGTAAATAATTATTTACAGCACCGCCCCAATTCTTCCCCCCCCCCCCCGGTCTCTCTCTCTCTTAAGTGAATCCACTGCTGGATGAACACCCGCACGCCGTGTCGGTCATTGGAGGAGGTGCGTGCGTGTGTATGTTCGGACATACTTCACTCGGCTGGTCAATGGATGGGGGGGTGATTTGGTTTAGATAGCATTCGCCACCGATGTTTTTAGCCGCGGTCCACTCTAGCACAGTGCGCCAACAGCTTGTGCAGTCGGCGTAGTTGGTGGAGGTGTTCACTTGCGGTATCTTGTTTTGTAAACCATCTTCCTTTATGTGTGTGTGTACATATAATGCATTATGTAACAACTCATTTTGGCGCCGTTATGGAAAATCATTGAAAATGCAAAGATTAAACAAACTTCCGTCCGTTTCTTCACGTAAACATTTAATATTTGTTTGATCCATCAGCCAACTGACCTTCTGGACTTGGATGTATAATATCGGCGCAGAAAGCCCATACGCTGAATTGTGCTGATTTGCCTGCATAATTAATGAATGCATGAGCAAGTGACTGCGCCTAATTTGTAAATCTCTTTCACGGAAGTGATTTATACAGCTGCCGTGTGCGCGATGCTGTGGCAGTTGCCAAATTTTCAGAGTTTAATTCCAATCCGGTGTCTCCGTTGAGACGAATACTTCCCGTCTCAATACCTGGTTGTAAATAAACGTCTGTACAGCAAGTCCTCGTTTAACGCGATGGACTCGTTCCTGGAAAGCGCCGCGTTAAGCAAAAACGCGCGTGAAGTGAAACAATTTTGCCCATAAATAACGGAACGATAAAGTTCAAACGAGTTTACGAAGAGCGCGCACAGTGAGATGGCGGAACAGATAACCGAGGGGACGCCGCCACGTTCGCGTATCATGTCGCGTACCCTTATCGCACTGCACAGCCACGCTGCTCAAGAAAATAGTTCGTCATCGACCAACTCAGAAACCGCGTTATAACGGGGCGCCTTCAGCGTTGTGCGAGTTCTCGGACGGACGCGAAAAGGCGTTGTGTGAACACGCGTTAAGCGAGCACTTACCGTACGAACTCTTGATTCAGATAGCAATAGTCAGGGATGGCAGGATAATAGGTTTAGGTGTAAGCGCCGCTATAGGAATCGCTGAGTGAGAAGGAGCAAGACCCCCATAGACGTGACCATGGCTAGACACCAACACGTCGACTCCACGTGAAAAGAACGTGTCGAACGGTAGTTTAGTTTACTGTCGTTCCCCCCCGCACCTCCGATTAGCACGGTTGACTACGTATGGTGCGAAAGAAGTTCAACATACATGCATACATACATGTCGATAGAAATGTAAAGACGTAAATCGTGACGTGGTTGGATTTAAATAAATGTCAATTACGTGTTTAATGAATCTTTCTCATTTGGATCGTGTTAGGACGCAAGAACAAACAACAACAACAACAAACGAGACGACATTTGTCAGACGTAAACGCAACCGCATTCGGAGGCGGTGTTATTGATGAGCGTGTTCAGATTTCGCCCTCTCATTTCAGACCGAATGTGTGTGGTGAGATCGAGAAAAGGTCTTCACGCAAACAAAGTCGCAATCTCGCCTGTCCAAATGTCTACAAACAAGCGCGTGGCGAGGCGATCGTTTTGAGAGTTTGAGCCACATTCTGATCTGGACGAAATGCGCGGAGGTTTTTTGGCGGAATCTGCCCAATAATTTGTTTTTGGCGATGTAGGAGGGAGGCATCGGCAGGTTTTTTTTTAGCACAAAAACAGATAATCTGGCGCATCAGACAAACTTCTTCCAGACGTAAACACGAGGCCTGAACGCGTTTCGTTTGCGTCGAAATGACAAATATGTTACATCTGTTGAAATTAATAATCGTGCTGTTACAATTCATTTGCCGAACAAGTTGGGGGGCTTTTTTGAACTATGCAAGCAGCGGAAGATCAGCACATCGCCGAGTTGTTTTTTTCACCGGCCATCCGTACGCATTGGGTGAGCGCGCGTCCATTCTATAGGTTGGAAGTTGGGGAGGTGGTCGTGGTGCTGGTGGTCGGAAAAGAGGAGAGGGGAGGAGGAGGGGAAGCAGAAATGGGGGGGGGGAAGGGGACGTGTTTTTGAACTGCCACGGAAGGATTGTGTTTCGTAAAAAAAAGCCACGCGCTAGCGGTGACGTGTATTCCGATGTTATTGACGGATTCGGGGAGAAGAGAGCGGGGGAGGAGGAGAGGGGAGAGCGTGGGGAGACAGAGCTGGGGGGGGGGGGTAAGAATGAGAGAGGAGAGGGGTGGAGTGTGTTTGTGAGTGACCAGACCCCAACGGCGTTGTTCTGTTCACGTAGGGTCGCCGCGCCTGGCTCCTTCTATCCACGTGCACGCGAGAAGCAGGTACCGTGACACGCACACACACACACACACACCTCGTGCGTACATACACACTCGTTCATACACACATACACACTCGTACATACCAATATCAATACATGCACACTCATTCATACACACTCATTCTACACACTCACAACATTCGTACACACAATATATACATACACACTCGTACATACACCTCGTACAAAAACAGGCAATCATTCATACACGCTCGTACACAATTATACATACGTATATATACACATACGCGTGCACACATCCTCGCACGCACCGATACATACGCGCACTTTACGCGTATATTCACGCACACAAAGATCACCCGTGTAGCATTGTAACAAACTGTCGGGGCAAGTGCTGTTAGCGAACACCTATGGAAGACCGCAAGGCACACCAAAAGGGTGGGTGGCCAACACCACGCCCGGCAGCCGAGTGCTGATGTTTTTCTTTCTTAACACACCGTAAAAGGTACTAATTTTAAGGCTGAGTCGACCTATGGGAGTCCCAAGACCGGTCCACACATTCGCTGCTGTTATTGATCGTGAGCGGGAGTCGAACTCGGGTCGCCGGGGTTCGTAGCGCAGTTGGCTACTCTGCACACACACACAGAGAGACACGTGCACGCGCGCACGCCACGTGGTATGCGTGCAGGGGTGTGGTGTACACGACAGATTTATCCGTGCTAAGATTTTCCGCGCGTCCTAATTGAGGGGTTATTTATTTATTTGCAAGGTTAATTGATATTCTGACGAGGCACGTGCGTGATTACGTGATGCTGCTGCTCCTACTGTTGATGAATGTTGCCGATGACGCTGCTGCTGCTTCTGCTGCTGCTACTGCTGCTGCGTTAAACCAGTGGAGGGATTGACCCGAGCGCCACTCGCGTTAGCGAGGCAACAGATGAGAAACACGGGACTCGGGATTGAACTGGGATGATTTGCTCTGAGGTCAAGACGCGTTCCTCGTGATGTAGCCGTTAGGACTCGACGGCTCCTGCTGTCATTTCGTCAATACGCTTGCAGTTTACAGGTTTCCCTCACTTTGTGGGCCATTTCGGTTTATTTGGAACGCATCTACCGCATAAAACGAGGGAAGCCTATGTAAGCGTTTCTATAGAGTTACATATGGCGGTAAAGACGGTGGCCTACTGAATCTACCCTACCGAACAAGAGACACTTGTCTTACATTTCAGTGAGTCTTCCCCTGGGTAAATGAATGACAACCAACGCATCGCGTTATAGGGAGCTACACGAATGCCGTTTATAACACGCTTTAATCAACTGCTGGATGGCCGCCTCTCCATGCTCCCTCTGGGGTGGTTGTTTGTACGTATGTATGTTGAACTTCTTTAGCACCGTATGTAGCCACCCGTGCTAATCGGTGGTATATGACAATACTTCACCGCGATGGTCAGTCCGGGTTGGTGAAGTGGTTAACGTGCTTTTTAATATATTCTAACCTTCATGGCATGTGTGCCGTGAAGAAGGGTCATTGCCAGAAACGTCTGCTATTATATAATTATCATGTTAAGGCAGTGTTATTAACGAATGTGAGCTGTATTATTATTGTTGTTATTTCTAAACTGAATTCTGGTGTGGGAAATGTAAAGCTCCTTCCACGCGGTCTGTGAGGACTGCAACGCTGATAACGCCACGCCATTTCAGTGACCGCAGCTCTCATTTCCAAAGATCCCCCGTATATATAGCCTTCAAATGTTCGTGCAAGTGCTGTTAGCGAGTAGCGCCTATGAAGGCCGGCACGACACACCAGACGGGGTGGGTGACCAGCATCCACGCTCGGCCGCCTTTGTCTCATATATATGCACCCATATCCACACACACACACGGACACACATATATTGTTAGTCCATGTTCCCCAATACGCTCTGCGTATTACGCAACTGTGGTCATGCCGATGTCCAAGATGCTGCGTGACGTATAGGGCAGAGTTATCGATGAGCGTGCGTGCATCTATGAAGCCCGCTTGGTCGATCCACTGCTGGATGAGGCCAACTGGACGCCGTGCGGGTCGGTGGAGGTTCTGTTGTGCGATTTAGTTAAATCGGGGCTAGGGAGCATATACACGGCAGCACAATGGTTGGTGAATGTGTGTGTGTAGCATCCCTGCAACTTCACAGTTATTATATATATATTTATTCATGCGATTTAATGGTATACGATTTGTTGCAGTATGTTGTTTATTTATAAACATTAGAGGAGTCAATAGTATACATACGGAACGTATTTTCTGTACAATTAATGCTTGAAATGATCAAACTATTATTACTGTAGTAATAATAATAATTGGTCAATCGAACCACTTGCGATCCAAGCAGCCGGTATTGTGTTACCGACCATACTTCACCACTCACGCACAGTTGACGCAGAGGGTGAATGGGTCCAGGGACCGGGTTCACAAATCGCTCGTCTCTGATGTGTTATCCCCCTGACCGGGGGATTCCAACTCAACGCGTCGGGTTCACAGCCGCAGAGCGCTGACCATTCCACCACCGCTGCCCCATCATAAATTAACGAGTAACAACTATCAATGCCGTGCACTGCTGTGTTTGACACAAACGCTGATTTGTCCATGAGGGGGGCTGTAAATAAGTAAGGAGAGTGCATAACGCTCTCACATTTGTGCGCAATGCGGCCAAACGTCACTCTGGTCGTAAGTAATTCACTCGTGCCGTTATTGTACCCACGGATTTGGTGCGGGGGTTTTTGTTTTGATTTTTGAACTCGGTAAAGACAACACAAACGTATATCATGATGGCTACCAAAATGAAACGGTATAGCCGCGCAAAGATCATCTCTATCGTAGCCTATACCCAGGGCCGGATTCAGGAACGGGGGGCTCTAGGGGCTGCAGACCAGGACCTCCGCAAGCTGGAGGGCCCTCCAGAGATTAAGTGAAAAGTTATTTTTCATTTGTGAATGCTGAATTGTATTTGTTGTTAGCCTTGTAAAAAAAATAATTATATGTTTCCTTTAACTTTGTTTTCCTTTTGAAAATATAACTGGGGGCCTCACGAGTACCTGTAGCACAGGGGCCTACAAAATCTGAATCCGGCCCTGCATGCCTATACCCCTCTACGCTATATACATATACAAATCTTCCACTTGTATATTCCACCGTGGAGCGATGGTGCAGTGGTTAACGCGCTGCTCTATGAACCCCGCGACCAAGGAGTTCGATTCCCGACCACGGCTAACATCAGTGGGTGAATGATTTCCGAACCGGTCCTGTACCCCCTCCCCTACCACCCATCCACCCTACCCTTAACCAACCGGCACTGACCAGCGTGGTGAAGTATGGTCAAACCACCACCCCTCCAACTCCTCAGCCGCTTGACCGACATGGCGTGGGGGAGCCCTTCATCCATTGGTGGATTTCAAATAGATGGAATCCGACCGAGTTATTTATTAATTTCTTTATATTCAACTGGCTATCAGGGACTTTGTGGCATTCAGCCATCACGTGCAAATGCCTCTATAACGTGAATACAAACAGAACAAGTTGCACAGGCTGTTACAGGGGGGGGGGGGGGGGAAATGGCAAGTTGCAAGCACCTATTAAGGTCAAAACAAACGACAGAGAGCTGCGTCGTGTAGTCACGCCAGCACGTGCGCGCCTTTGTCTTCGAAATGTCGGTTATCATTTGAGGCCGAGTTAACCTAGGGGGGGGAGGGAGGGTAAGTTTCCTCGTCCCTAGCATCACGCTGTAGCTTCACCGGGGAACGACGACGACTTATACGCGGTATAGCGGCCACAAGTTAGCGCGTCGTGAAGTCCCCATCTGGTGATTGTTATTACATAACACGTATTATGCTGTGCGTGTAACAGCGCGTGTTACACGCACAACGTAATATACTACGTGATGGTTGTATTCTTGCATTGAATCGCATTGTAGTAACACGCGTTGTTGCATTTTTTGCGCGTATTTGTGAAACGAGACCGCGTGGAATGGTGTTACGCCATTACATAAAGATACGGGATTATCTAAGGTGTCACATTATTACATAACACCATTATAACACCGCGCGGATTGGTTTCACCTTATTACATAACACTGCCGTAACACGGCGTGGTGTTACATAACACTTCTATAACGCCATCTGTATTAGTGTTGCATTATTTATAACATCGCGTATATTGCTGCTGCATTATTACATAACACCGTTTTAACGGCGTGCTGTCATGTTACATCACGTTATAATACAGGGCCCATTGCATGATTACAGTATAACAATTTCTATCGAGGTTATACACAAGGTGGTGTTATTACATACCATCGGAACAATGCGTGGTGTTACATTGTTATTCACCACTACATTCCATCAAATTATAATTACACGTGCTAATGCACGTGCTCCATTATTACATAACACTATTAGGACACCATTTGGAGTGGTGTTTAAGCTTGCATAACACCATTATAACACCACGTTCATTGGTGTTACATGATTACGTAACACTTCTATAATAACAGCTGGATTGGTGCTACATTATCGTTAACGCTGTTGTGAACCCACGTGGATTGGTGGTGCATGATTGCATAACACCATCACTATCGAGAATACCCTGTCGATCGGTGTTATATTATTACATAACACCACGTGGTTTGGTGCTACATTATTGCATCACACTTTATAATATCGTGTGGATTGGTGTTACATTATTACGTAACATTGTTGTAATACCACCAACTTGTCTTCCTTTTTTAACATTACAGAATTATAACAGCGCGTGTTGTTATTACAATATAACATCGCAACACCACGTGATGCTACGTTATTACATAACACCACGTGATGTTGCATGACTACATCACGTCATAACACCACACGTTGTTACATCATATTGCTATATGCATTGGTGGTGTTGTTAATTCATCAGATCGAATTATTGTAACACAACTCACACGACTTCACGTTGCAGTATCATAACACACGCATTTCTACATCACATTGTAAACATGTTACATCATCATATTGTTATAA